GCATTCCTTGAGCTCCAATCATGGCTTTTAAGGTTCTTTTGTTTTGGTAATAAGAGTACCTGTCGGCCACAAACAGCAGCAACCTTGAGGAATGGTTCGCCACTATTGTTACAAAGACAGTTGGCCATTCTGACCACTTGCTCACATAGCATGACATTTGGACATAGAACAAGAGAGAGTTGACGGGACTTTGTTGCTTCTCTCTCCAACAGACCTCCTCCTGATATACCACCACTTTTAGAAAGCTTATCGATCAACGGAACCAAGTATCCATGGGTTTTGCCACTACCAGTCTCGGCAGCAACCACCACATCAGCTCCAGACAATATATTTGGTATGCAAGCAGCCTGTAGTCAATTACACAAGATGAAATGCTTGTTTTAACAAAAGATGAAATTTTTAAGGCAATAAAATGGTGTCAAAGCACAAAACAGGTAGGATATAGTTAGAACTGAACATAGAATTTGAACTGTAATGGTTGGTGATAGCCACAAGTTTGCAACTACACAATTGGTTTCAAAAAACCAAAACTATCCTTAGAAATTTTCCCTTTCCCTAGCATTTTCCGGGATATAAACATTCCCTAAGTAGCTCAGTATAAAAAATATCAGATACAATAGCATTGTCAAAATAAAAGTTCCCACTTCTAGCTCATATGAATTTCATTATGTATTATCTGCACTACAAACTTCATAAAAATAGGTTTAATGGATTCCTAACAAATCCAAAAAAAATGAATCTTTAATCGACACTTCCTTCATAGCCTAATTTTTCAATCAATTTTATCTTTCTAAATACTCAAATGATAATTTTTATGCTAAATAAATTGCGCACCTGAACGAGAGATGGCCTCTGAAACCCAATACTAGATAAAGACTGGGATAGGCGGTCAGAGACGCCGAGAGACTTCCAAGAAACGTCTTCCTCCGCGAAGAAGGTGTCGCTGCCGTTCTTCTCAGCGGCGATCGGGGCCGCCGTTCCAAACGCCCTTACCCGGAAAAACTTGACCTTTGCGAATCTGCAAGTCGGGAGGGGCAAGAGCTTCGACGCAGAAGGCGATAGATAGCAGCATAGTCTAAGCATTTTTGAAAAAGAGTGCTGCAAACCCATAGTTAACTTTGAGCATGTGTCACTAGTACATAAAAGGGCAAAGGCACCGATTGTTTTATAGCTTTAGCATCGGTTTTGTACCGATGTAAATACAAGCGATGCAATTGGTCCAATTCAATTGCATCGCTTCGGAAACAACTGATACCTTTGTTATTTTATTAAAAAAAGAGTATTAGCATCGGTTGTTTCTAAACAACCGATGCCTTTGCTATTTTATAAATTTAAAAAAAAAAGAGTATTAGCATCGGTTGTTCAAAAACAACCTATGCCTTTGCTATTTTATTGATTTTAAAAAACGAGTACTAGCATCGGTTGTTTCTGAACAACCGATGCCTTTGCTATTTTATTAATTTAAAAAAAAAGAGTATTAGCATCGGTTGTTTCTAAACAACCGATGCCTTTGCTATTTTATTAATTTTAAAAAAAGAGTATTAGCATCGGTTGTTTCTAAACAACTGATGCCTTTGCTATTTTATTAATTTAAAAGAAAAGAGTATTAGCATCGGTTTTTTCTAACCAAACGATTCCTTTGCTATACTATTTTTTAAAATATTAATAAAAAGGGGGTATAGACTACACCACGAGTATACATAGCAGGATATGAAACCGGAGTCCCATATGGCGACATTAGAGGCTAAAGTAGAAACACAACACAAGCAGATTAAGTGTTACCTCCATGTTAAACCATTTAAGATGTGTGAAAATTTATGTATAACATTAATTAATGATTTGAATAGGCATAAATCACCTGGCCTCCCCACATATAGGTATGGGGAGTAAGAGAAGCAACAGTTGATGAAAAGAAGAGAGGTGTAGCAGCAGCACTATAATAAGCCTAAACCCACAAAAGAGGAGAGAATTTAATAAAGTTAAATGCATCTACTTGGCTTAACATCAAGAAGACTCATTGCCAAACCAGAAGAGAGCTTGTCCAATCAGGATATAATGATGCAACTGGCGTCTCCTGAGAATTGAAGGAAATGCAGAAAGCTAGTAATCGTATGAAACAAATAAGAAGCAAGAAAAGTCTAATGTGCAATATTGATTTAGTTCATTATCAACCTGAAGCTAAAGTATTGTAAACAATGACTCTTTTAGCAATGGGAACACAATGGGTGCTGCTAATATTTGAAAAGTTCACATTTCGGTTTACAACAATTATCATGTTTAACTTGTAAAATTTACCCACAACTTACATGAAAAATTAGCTTCATTTTATAAAATAGGACACTTTAGGGACAGATTGTTTTGGGCACAGGGAGTACAAATGAAGCTCTTTCCTTCAAAAATTTAACACTAGATTAACTAGGCATGGTAAAAACTGTAGAAGCCAATTATTTTGTATGAAACTGAAACACTGACCGGGGAACAGTGGTAGCAGTCCGGGAAGCTGTGCTTTCTGGGTATTATTGTCTGGGTGGAGACCAGGGATCCATTGAGGGTTTCCTCCTCTGTCTACAGGCATTGAGCTTCCAATGTGATTGAAATCTGTTTTTATGTGTGAACCTACAGACTTAAGTACAAACATATGGCAAAGCATATCAGTTTGAGAGCATTTTATGAAATTTAAGAGGGAGTGCAACAGATAATTATCAAAAGCAGTAAGAATTTAAAATGGTAGTGGGCATTTTGGTTATCTTTGACAGGGGAACCAAAACCAAATCATATGTAATTTACTAATTTGGTTTTAATATTGGTAAAAATGGTAATGTTTTTCCAGTTCATATTAGACCAAACTAAAACTGATTAAAGAACCAAGCAAAAAACGCTGAAACCGTAATTAAAAAAAACTATGAAACTCAAACCTTTTCAAAAACTAAACAAAACTAAGCTTGCTTTTATTTAGGCAATCACTTCCCAAATCTTATCTGAACCACACAAGCTGACCAAAAAGACCAAACCAAGCCCGAAATTCCGACCGACCCTTAGTGAAATCTGAAAAGCATTCCCACCCAAATTTGATGTTCATAGTGGTGGAGATATTGACTTCAGTAATTCATAAATAAAAGATGCAAGTACTATCACAGTTTATTACAAAGCAGATATGCATAAACTAAACTTTACTTTTTATGAAATTTCCGGAAAACTGGAATTGGCTGTAGGATAGAGTAAAGAAAAAGGAATCCGTACCAAGAAAGATTATGTAGCACTCAAGCACCCGTGATGGCTACGAGATAATCTTCAAATAGATATACGACTCCTACAATCAGTGTGATTATTTAGTTTTGCTTTGTCTAGGAGTAGGCAACTTTAGCAGAAAACTTTCTTGATTGAAATTTGTTTGGACAACTGGAAATGTTCATTTTCTTCTCTCTAACGACTTCTCCTGGTCAGGTTATTTTCTATGTTATTTTGTGTTATATCTGCTCTCAAATTCGTCTTCCCTCACCCTCATTCCAACTGAAAGGGTCTTTTCGTCATACAAACTAATGCCAACATATCCTTGGAAAAGGTTGTCAAGTTCCCCTCCCCCATCCACCCACCCACACACACCTGAGTACCACTACTAACCATTATAAATTTAAGAACCCGATTATGAATTCGCGAGTTGTGAGGATAGAAATTCACACATAGAAAATCAAAGAATAACTGGAAAATTGGGAAAATACCTCGTAGATAGGTCGCTGTAGTTCTTCCAACTGGACCAGGACGTCGATGGCGGAAACTAAATCCAGATGGCGACTAAGAGCAGTAGCAAACCCAGTGATAAACAAATACAAACACCATCACAGGGAGGTACACCTAAATCCCTGTGTTAAAATTAATTCATTAATGGATTCAGAAAAGTGAAATTAAATCAAATTCAGCAACGAACAAGGAATCAAAATGGAAGGAGAACGTTAGAACTAACCTCCATCCGCTCCTGGCTCCTTCTCCGGTTCTGTTCTTCTGGAGAAGACGTAGATGAAGGCGGCAAGAGCTGCTGCGAATCTCTCCGGTTGTCAGCCAACTAATACAAAGAAGAGAGGAAGGATCGGACCTTTTTTAAGGGTAAACTTTTTTAAAACTCCCGTTATCAAATATTAACCTTGTAGTCCTTTTTTAAGGGTACCTTTCCACAAATGGTCCTTTTTTTGATCTTCTGCTGTGTTGGTGTTAATTTAAAGGATAAAAATATAATTTGACGTCAACATTATGTTTAGTGGCGTGTTCTGATATTGGTTAAGCGGATAACACAAAAATAATGATTATTATTGTGGGCTATGATTCTGATGAAAGATCACATTTGTAGATTATAGTTGTCGTAAAAAGCGACTGTAATTCACAAACGACGCAAACAGAACAGCCTTTGGAATTGTGTATGACAAAAAAGATATATTATCATTGTGAAATTACACTTTTAGTCCTCAAATTAACACCAACATGATAGAAGATAAAAAAGGACTATTTCTGGAAAGGTACCCATAAAAGAAGGACCACTTGGGTAATATTTGATAATAAAGGACTAAATAGGGAAACCCCCGTGTTATAAAAGACCAATTATAGAATTTACTCTTAATTTTAATTAATAGTCCGGGTATATAATACTGGGTAGTACTCCGTATTAAGTATTAACATCTGTTGTACAAAACAATTGATGCCTTAAAAATTTCAAAAATTTAAAATTACTTTTAGCATCGGTTCCAGTTAAAAATCGATGTGTTTGTTTATTTTAAAAAAATACAAAAAAATACTCCCTCCATCACCCTATATTTGTCCACTTTTATTTTTACACACCATCCAATGCACTTCTTTAATCCATTTTATCTTGTAATTTGTATATTAAAAAATTATAAAAATTATATATTAATAATCTATATGTTAAGACAAATCAAACAAGATCACACATGACTATATTTAGGCTTACACATTGAGAGAATTTGATGAGTCAAAGTGCTTAGATGAATAGTTCCAAAAGTCAAATGTGGACAAATACAAGGAGATGGAGGGAGTATAAAATATATATGAGCATCGGTTATTTTTAATAATTGATGCTTTTGGTCTATTGCATCAGTTATTTCAAAATAATCGATGCTAATACATATTTTTATTTTTCAAATTTTAGTTAATAATTATCAAATGCATCGCTTTTAAAAAACAACCGATGCCTTTGATCTTTTGCATCGGTTATTTATACAAGCGATGCAATTGATGCAGTGCCTCTGCCATTTTTTGTAATAGTGTGTTAGTGTCCCATTGAAAAACTGATGATGATGATGACGATGACGACGACGACGGAGAGGAGGCCAAAGGGTAGATATGAGCGGGCCAAAATTGTGTAAATTTGGGCCTGGTGAGCTATGAAAATTGCTTGTTTATTGTTTTCAAAGACAAATACTTCATCCGTTCCTAAATGTTTACAACATTTGCTTTTTTAATAGTTGCGAAATTTTTTGTTTATTTTTATGTTCTTATTGGTTATTTGATAAAATAAAATATCTTTGACATCTCTTCTTTCGAAAAACTTTTCATGTTGTTTTTTAATATGTAAATTTTATTTTTTATTTCTATACCAATATGTAAATAAAATAAATTGAAAAAATTTAATACTTTAAATATGTAGATAATATAAATTGAAAAAACTTGATATTTTACCTCGGTGATGGCAATGTAGCAAACATTTAGGGATGAAGGGAGTAAAAAAATCAAAAGTGAAATGAACTATCCCTTTATCACAATTTAAAGTCTTAAAATGTCTCGTTATTATTTGCAAAGTTAAATTTTAATCACTTTTTTATTTAATTTTGTTACTTTTTGATAATAAAGTATGATCATGACTATTAAAAGTACATCCCCATTCTTTTGACAATGACGGGTTTTGTCATAATATGACAACACCTCCAATCGGAGTACCTATAGTGCTTCGATCATAAAATTGATTCTCCTCTCTGCTGATAGTAATTTACAACTTCATGGATGTTGTGGCTGTGATTGGGTTGCGTGTCCTCTTATGAGGCGCTCTTTGACTGGATGATTCGTTCAGCTTGGGAATTCACGTATTTCTTGGAAGATAAAGAAAAAAACAGCAGTTGCACGATTGTCTGGTGAGGCAGAGTATATGGCACTTTTGAGCTGAAGTGGTTGAAGAGCCTTTTGGCACACTGGCGGAATTACTCAGGCTCCGCTCCATTCATTTGATCTGAATCTGATTTGGTTTGATCTTATGTGATCTGATCTGGTGTGATCTAATTGCAGTTATAATTAAAGTTGCTGATGATCTGATCTGGTCTGATTGCAGTTATAATTAAAGTTTTTGCAGATCTGATCTGGTCTGATCTGTAATGCCCCGTATTAAGATGGGAATGAGAAGAGCTCAAAAGGATAGATAATATTTCTCATACCAACAAGGTGCATCTTCTTATCGAGAGTTCATCACTTAGAAACTCCAAAGTTAAGCGTGCTCGACTTGGAGCAATTTTAGTATGGGTGACCCCCTAGGAAATTTATCGGGCGTGCACGAGTGAGGACAAAGTGCGCGGGAAAGATTTGTGTTGGTTTGTGGGGCCAGTCTACAATTCTATGAGCGGACGCTTACGGCTAGGGTATGGACTAGGGTGTTACAAATGGTATCAGAGCAACCTTGCGATTGTGACGAGCCAAAAGAGCTTAGATTCTAAGGGTTTAAAAAAAAGGATGCAACTAGGGCATTGCATTCCTCAGTGGGGATGGATGTAATGCCCCGTATTAAGATGGGAATGTGAAGAGCTCAAAAGGATAGATAGTACTTCTTATACTAACAAGCTAACAAGGTGCATCTTCTTTTCGAGAGCTCGTCACATAGAAACTTCAAAGTTAAAAGTGTTTGACCTGGAGGAATTTTAGGATGGGTGACTCCCTGAGAAATTCCTTGGGCGCGCACGAGTGAGGACAAAGTGTGCGGGAAAGACTTGTGTTGGTTTGTGAGGCCAATCTACAACTCTATGAGCAAACGCTTACGGCCAGGGTGAGGGCTGGGGTGTTACATGATCTTCTTATAATAAGAATAAGTAATAAGCAGAAAAAATAAATCAAACAAAATAGTACTTGTAACACCCCGATTCGCGTATTCTAGTTTACTCGGGTTAGCGAGCCAAAGCGGTGGCAATTTGGTAAAGTAAGATCCATAATTTAAAGAAAATATTTCAATAACAAAAATTTCAAGGAATCTCAAAATGTCAATATCACAAATTGTTTCAAAGTAGGAAAACTAATAACGTTGCAAAAGCTTAATTAAAATAGTACGCACTTGGGTTTAAAGCCTGAAAATGTTCAAACTTAATTTAAAAAAAAAGAGAATCAAATGGAATTTATTCCCACACCATGACAATATCTCTTTGTCTCAATGTTCTCCAGGGTTGACTCCATCACATTCCTTACCTACACATACCACAACGTAGATTTTATAGAATTATTCATAATCAAAAACATATTGGTCAAGTAGTAATTATGTAAAGTCAACCATACTATGGAGTCAATCTATGTAAAAAATAGACTCGATAAGACTTCCCTGTCCGAGTCTAAGTCTGAGCGCCCTTCTCTTCGGGTTCAGAATTTATTTCGTGGCCTTCCCCACTCTGGGTATAAACACTCTTCCGCTTTCGAACACTCGGGTTGAGTGGCCCCCGGTCGCCGGACCGGTTCTAGAACCTTATGTACGTACATACTCAACACCTAAAGTCACCCATATTTATGCACTCAAATTCATAAAACTAAAACTAGAAATAATCTAGTTTAATCCATCCAAACCATTTATTTTGGTATCACCATTTTATTCAACATATTCATGGATTAGAGTATATAATGAGTATTTGAAATCATTTTTGTTTACTATCGTATAAAACATCAGGCATTTAATAATTTATTTATTATTTCCAGACCTAGTCTGTTCAAATCATTTTCGTTTACCGATTTTTTTTTTTGTTTATAAAAATAAAAATTTATAAGTATTAAAAAATTATAAAAATACTAACCTGTGAAGGAATAACAATATGTAGCTTTGGGTTCAGTTTTTTGTTTGATTTTTATACAAACCCAAATTCTGAACAAAAGGTTAGTGTTTCGTTCGGTGTAATTTTATAAAACAAAAAATATGTATCAAGTTTCCCACAAAAGCCTAAGAGATTCCAAATACTCTCAAAGACATCATACGTAAATTTACAGGGAATTTGCATTTTTTGGTAAAATACTTTCATTTTCATTATAACACCAACATTTTTTATGTAAATATGTAAATTACTCTTATAATTGTATAATTTTAATATAATTCTGTATTAGGATTAGTTACTAGTGTTTATATTCTTAAGTTTTTTTAAATTTTATAATATGGTTTTAAATGGTTAATTAATAGTTAAAAAATAACTTTAATCGACTAGTCAACTATTTCCATTTTTATTTCTATGTTTTTTACATATCACATTGTTGAAGACTTGTCGTACGGTCCAAAACAAATTAAACATTTATAAATAACCTTAGCTAACCCCCAAAATATAATCAAATAAAAACTATAGGTAGGGCAAATAAGGGTCGATCCCACGGAGAAAGTTTGTATTTTTTTAAAAAACCAATTAAGCATGCAAACACGTTGTCACTAAAAAAAATAAAAACATACTACACATATGATAAGACTTATAATAAAACTCATAATTAAATAAATATAAAAACTTATAAATAACTTCTATAAACAAAGAACTTATAATATACGGAGTAACTTATAAAAATAAAACAAATACCTAGGTATTTATAACTTAAAACACAGGGGGGGTTGGATAAAAAGTAAATATTTTTGGTTTTTTATATTTTCTTATTTTTTTGGTTTTTTTTAATAAAAATGGGGAAAACAAGCTCAAAAGATAATCAACTTCTCCAATTAAGGTAACCCAAGAAACACCGCCAAGAACCCAAAACAAAATGAAAAAGAGAACAAACACAAATTGAACATTACACGTATAATAGGCATTTAGACAATATATTACGTAACTTACGCACTTAAAA